TACTGTTTACCAAAAGGTTCGCACAATCTGTAAATTTGTTAAACGTTTCAATGATTTCATATCAGTTTATTTGTTGGCTATGTTAGCAAATAATACAATTGTATTGATGTCAATGTTATGCACATTTGCACTGAATTTCAATGGGCACGGTATACGTCCACTATTACCCATATCTATCACTTTGCCACCACTTTTGGCAATATGTATAATCTGTGAATTAATACCAAATAGTTTTCGGAAATTAATGCTAAGATTAGAGGATTTATATTCACATCAATTGCAGCCAAACGACAGAATAGTTTTGATTCAAATACAGAATTTTGAGCACAGATTCTGTTTATCGGCAATGAATTTGTTTACCGTAAACACAAAAACGTTTATATCGTGTTTGGCTTTTATTCTCACTTATTCTGTGGTTATAATTCAGACCACACTATAGAAATAAATATAATTATTTTGAATCAGTTTTATAAAATATTATAGTTTTATAGCATCGATGGCTAAATTCTTGAGAGTCCAATTTGTTTGTGTCTAATATAACTCAATATTTATATGAATTATAAGTAGTATTCTGTTATAAACTTGTCATATCTTACGATTAGTATAAATAAAATATTACAAAAATATTATTTTTATAAATAAAAATTACTTATGATTACTATGCGTTTATATGTAATTATTTATTTTATTTATTTATTTGAAAGGATTACTCTTTAATAAATTTAATTAAAAAGAAAAATATTAATTTCATTTAAAGTACAATAATAATGCTGTCAATATGTTTAGCATTTATAAATCTTTATCATTATTATAAAATACTATAATTTTTATAACATTGACTTTAAAATATCATATTTGCCAGTTAATAAATAATGCTTATCATAACTTATACAGAGGTTGCGTAAAATAAACGCTTAGTATATTTAAATATGCTTATTAATGTCGGCGTAAACATGTTGTTATAACATAGTGTTAATTATTAACATGTTTACTAAGTTATTGCGTATAATTTAATATGTTTATATTACAACATTAAATCATATGAAAAATTGCTAATATATTGCATAAGAGTATTAGACGTATTGAATATTATCACTGAATAGGAGTCTAATTGAATTGAATAATGTATCTACAAATGAAACATAAGAAAAGGAACCAGACAATAAATCATAATGAGGTAATGAACAATAAATGTATATTACATTTCAATAACCAAAAATTAATTTACTAAATAAAATTTGGCAATAAATTGATGGAATATAATAATCAACAAAGTATTAGATAGAAAGTGATTTTTAAATTAAAGTATCAGTATCATAGATAAAATTAAGATACTGTATATTTATTAAAATTATAATTTAGAAAATTACAAAACAAATTGTCCTTACTACTGTTTATTAAAATTAAGTCTGATTATGTGATTAGTGAAATGCTATATAATTAATAAATACAACAATTAGCTAACTATGTCTTAAAATGACATAACATTTGTTTCTCAACTATAGATAGATCTTCGGTATGGAAAGGATTCAATGGACAGATTCGGTGATGATTTGTGTCGACTCCTACTGTCTTACCACTCATTCGAAGAGCACTTCCGACACGAATGTGTGTCCAAACAGTTCCAGAGGAGTCTATACGACACCGTCGACGACATCGTCATCAATGATGAGCTGATGGACAAAATGACCAAAAGTGTGCGCACGCCTACCGGTGCCGCGTGGGGTCAACGGCTGCCACTTATTATGGAAAAGTGTCCAAACATTCAGCGCATAGACTGTCGAGAAATGGCATTAAATGAGAGACTCTTTTCATTACAAATAATACGAGGAAACTGTCGCCGATTACGGGAAATATACTGCGATTTCACCGATTTTGAGGGAAGTCTCGACGTATTTCAGTGGTTTGGGTCGTTGTTTAAGAGACTTAATGTCGACGATCTGGACGCAGATCCGCAACTATATCTCACATTATGTCCACATTTGTCGCATTTAAAGTTGTATTACTTTAACGATGTTTTCTCCGATGATAGCCATCAAAGGCTATTAGTCAAGAATTTGCGAAAATTTGAGTTTTATATGGATTTGGATTATAATAACGATATGTTCGACACATTCATCGCCGGTAATCAGTCGCTGAAGAGTCTGGTGGTGTCCGGCATATCACCGGAGATTAAATCGTTGGACGAAATCTGCAAATTCATGAATGCGTTGAAAAAACTGCCGGAACTGCGCGAATTGGTACTCAATTTTGCGGACATATGGACGGGTAGTCTGACACCAATAGGGAAAACAATTGTCGCTATTGGCTCGACACTGAAGCGGCTGAAAAGGTTTGACCTAACGGTACACGTGAAGGTGTGCCCCAGATACT